GCTCCAGCAAGAATGCACCAGGAGCTCGTGTCCTCAAATGAAGGCGGGAGAGTGGTTATATCTCTGTGTTGCGCACGGTAATGACGGCGCTATGGAGGTCCGTAGCTCTGCCGAGTTAGCTGGTCCTCTTGTCTTCTGATGAATTTGATATAAAGCAATGCTGTGCAATCGATTACATCCTTCATACTGTCGACAGCGCAACGGCTCTTTTGAACTCTCCCAGAGCTTTTCCTTCCAGGTACTTATCCAGCCGATTATGATCCACCTTTTCGCCGTACTGACCTCATTCGGTCGGCGCTTCTTTAACCCATCAGGCTCTCCATCCCACAGACATCACACAGGCACTTTTCCTCTCTTGCCCGTCGGCTTGGCAGAATCTTTGCTCATGCCTATTTCCATCATCGGGAGGCCTTTGAGCAAGCCGAAGCCGAATCATCCCTTTATGCCCGCTTCCTCAAACTCACTAGCCAATTTTATTTGGTCCCCGCAGAATTTCTCGTCATCCCGGAAAGCGCCACCCATCATGATGACAAGATCCACATCGAGCAAGTGGAACCCCCTCGTCTATTATCAGTTGCAGTTCATCCCACACCAAGTATTCAAAATGACGAACTTACGGTCGACACAGCACCCGAAGGAGGTCTAGCCTCTAGTAGCCGTCCAACAGCTGTGGACACTGCCAATCAATTTGGAACGGACAGCCCACGGAGACTTGGTCGTAACCGAACCGATACGATGGTCTTTAGCGAAGCCTTTAGTGTGGCAGATGAACTGTCCAGAAGCGAAGATGGTGGAACATCCACTGCCGGCAGCTTGCCTGGCAACTCACCAGTGGCCGAAACCCGATCGCTAGCCTCAGAGCAGTCTTGGTCTCATCTCCAGACAAGAACGGAGGATTTGGACGATGAAGATGATGCTTGCGATACTCGTTCTGAGTCGACTCTTGCTGGTCCACTGTCCCCCCCGGTGGAAGAACTCTCACTCATCTCACTTGAGGACACATCTAGTGTACCCACGCTCAATGAAGCTGTTCTAGCATTGCCGTCGGAGCCATCGCCGCAAGAATCACCCCTCTGATACTCCAGCCATGGAATCAACTCCTGAAGAACCCATTCAGGTAGCAGATACAGCCGAAGAGAACGCGCCCACTGATGAACCCTCTACCTCCGAGGTGGTGGAATCCCCTTCAGAAGAAACAAACCCCCCTGCGCCCGTGGCATTGACTGAATCGACACAATCCCTAGCCGAACCAGAAGAGAACATCGCAGAGTCCGTCAGCGAGAATGTCGATCCCATCCCGTTGTCCAGCGACGAAGAACCCGAAGCTACGGAAAAGGATACAGAACCACAGGCAGAATCCGAGTTGCCACCACCTTGTGAGCCATTGCTCGAATTAATTGAGCCACCACCGTCAGAACCGATTCCCCCGGAGAGTGAGAGCGATATCACCGACGAGGCTGGCGGGCTTGACGGGAATGAGGTAAGGGTGGGTGGGGGAGAAGAAGCAGAAGCAGTCGTTGGTGAATAGAATCTGGACACGACGGTACCGCGATCTACAATCATGGGTGTGGAACGTTCTCATAACAATGCGTGCAGCTGCATGGCGAAGACCGCAATATGGTACCTCTCAGTGCTTCCTCCGTCTTTTCTCCCCTCTTGATGCCTTGGCCTGGTCCATGTGGGGTAATTCAATTTCCTGGTACGGAGTAGGAAGCCTTTTCTGATCTTATCATGATGTCAATATGATTCTATGTTGTGAGCGTTTTGTCCCCGCGTATGAATTGCTCTCGTACATGCGTGTCCCTGAAAGGATGGTAAACATAGCAGACCAACATCCAGGCACTTTGCTCATCCATATCTTGATCAAATGACGTAATGTGGGGGTAGACCTACTGTGGTGCCTTGAAAATTGAAATGGAACCTGGACTTGGTGCTCGTCTGTTATCGATTTATCAAGCAGCATGGGACAGCTCACACGTAGTATCTCACCTAGGCAGTCTATCATTATCGGTGTCGTTATCTACCTCTGATAGCCGATTGACCTGTCAATGGACAGCCACTGCGACCATACGTGTTTGCTGTACGATTTATATTTATGTATCCCCTCATCGTTCCTGCGGTGCCTACGTGGATTTTAGACCTGCCACGGCATATGTACGCATACGTATACCAGTAACCAAGCTGGTACGTTACATACATACACCATTGCCCGTGAATGATGGCTGTGGGTCGTATGCTACGACAGTTCCGGATTCAAGCTCGCTTGCCGAGGGACGGTGTACCTCCGTGTTTGCATGTTCACCCGCAGTGACCATATGACGTGCCTATATTCAAGTTGCGACTTGAATACACCACCGTCCGAAGGGGCGGGGTCCAGGCGTTTCCACGGGATTTATCATATCGGCCCGGATCTGGTCTAGATATATACTGGATATGACTGGATGCCTTCTGGTATCTGTACCTTTGGCAAGGGTCGATGATAAAGCCTGAGTAAGTGGCACTCGGTGACAATAAATCGGCGGCTGTCTCTGAATAATACTGTCGTGGTCGGCGGTCCAGCGCATGTGCTGGCGGCTAGTTATTGACAGAAAAGTCTGTCATGGCGGATAATCGTTTTCTTATCTCGTCGCCAACCTTACTCGTGTCAGAGAGATAACACAACACGTGTAGGCATGTTTGAGCTCGAGGTCGACACGTCGATATCGAGATCGGTACCAGAGTACCTAGGTACCCGTCGCGCTCGGGATGTGTTCTACATACAGATATAGCCAATCTTGCGTTTTCGATATAGATACAACTTCGCAGTATCCATACAAGGTACGTTACAGAGGAATCCCGGTGTAGGCCAGTCCGGCACCTTTCATGAGCTTCTCCATCAACTTCATGCCTTCCAGTACACGTTCCTCGTCTAGACGTTTGCCGACGACTTGGACGCCGACAGGAAGACCCTCCATCGCAGTTGCGTCGTACATCCGATAGTTTTCCCGTTCAATAGCGTTACGGGCTCGGAAAGAAGGCGAAACGACGTCAGTACTCTTCACGTGGCTAATCGGCATCACCCCTGCACTGTAGTCAAGCTACAGCCATGCGTATGAACGAAAGGATCAGAAAAGCGAGGCGCAGCCGTGTCGCTTGAGTACACACCAGGTTAAACAAAAAGGTATAGCCACACGCTTTCCATCCGTGACGCATCCCACGATGCGGTACTGCTGGCAATGCGTTTGGCACTGTCAGGATGAAATCGACACCCTTGTCTCCCAGTCCACCTTCTACCTCGGTGTCACGCCAGACCTTGAACCACCGCGCGCGGTAGTCCTCACGTTTCGCGATAAGTGCATGGTACTCCGAGACGCTCTTCTCGTAAAAGCTGTCGACGAGACCCGCATAGATCGGATCGCGACGTATGTATCTCAGATACCACGCGTATATCTTCATGATGAAACGCGGTAACCCGAGGGCACGTAACGCTGGTACCATCCCTGCATCATTTGTCTCAAACGATCGAAATGATTTCGCGACGGTTTTGCCACCATCAGCCAGCAGCAGTTGAGAGGCGATCTGAAGCCCCTCATATGGGCTAGGTGGGTCCCTAAGGCGATGTTAGATGTGTGTATCTAGAGATAAATGATGCTTACAGGGCAACGACTGCATGCCCATTCTTCTGCAACACCTCGGCCACCGATTTAAGCACTCTCAGACACGCAGGTGAAGGAGCGACAACGCCTTGGCCCAGTTCAGTTTTCCAAGTTCTGGAATGTAATGAACACATACCATCGTCCCACAACACACCCCACCGAAGAGGTCTATCGACGGGCAATTCCACTTCCCTCCACGGGATGTTGAGAACCTGCGATATGGTATGTGAGTAGTATGGAAAGGTCACAGAGGATGCTCACGGAATGATCATACTCCCATGGCTTCATCTGGAACACCGCACGCCAAAATGTCTCAAGGTCTTCAAGCGTTTTCGCCATGGGACTATGCGTAGCCGGCACTCCCTCTTGTCCGGGTATCGACGAGGCGCTCCCGGTCTTTATGAACCGATGCATGCTCGACTTGATCGCATATACCCCCGAATAATGCGACGGCACTCGAACGCTCCCCGCCACATCCGTACCCACCCCAATCCTAGAACCACCCAAAGCAAGAAGCGCGCTTTCACCCCCCGACGACCCACCTGGACTGTACCCCTTCTTGTGAGGGTTCTCCGTCCTCCCAAACACATCATTGGCAGCCTCAAACGAGAGCATGGTCGTCGGTACGTTGGTCTTGACAAACGGAATCGCGCCAGCCCGTCGTAACAGTCTCACAAATGCACCATCGTACGACATGGGTTTACCCGTCATCGCTGAATACCCTATGGACGCATCGTACCCCTTGACGGCAAGCATATCCTTGAGGGACACAGGCACGCCCGCGAGCGGACCGGAGCGGTTCGCCCCGCGCGCCCATCGCTCGGCGGGTTCGATCATGATCTCGGTGAGACAGTTGGTTTGGGCATGTGCTTGGAGTGCGCGTTTGGTGTAGGCTGTGAGGACATCGGAGGGGTTGAGGGATGCGGTTTGGACGCTGGATATGAGGGCGGAGATGGGGTGGGCGAGGATGGCCTTGTCTTGGGGTGTCAAGGGCTGGTGGTATACCTCGGGGAGGGATGCGATTCGTTCTGCGCGCTCGCGTTGTTTATCGTGGCTGCGAGAGGTTGGATTGAGATTAGAGTAGTGATAGTACGGCGCACCCTTACCAAGCGCGTCGGTGGGCCAGATAGGAAAACAACATGAGTCACACGACGAGCGGCGGCGATGAGAGAAGAGAGGATGTATCGATTGAGTCAAATGAACTTTTGAATATATACTGGCTCTAAATACTCACGTTAAGTTGCCAGCTCACATGTCGGGTCAGTTGACGTATCATATACTACACGTATGTACCTAGTCGGGGGATCCAACGCATGGGCCACATCTTGTGGTGCATGACATGGCATGATTATATCCAAAAATAACTCTCTGGTAGTATATCGGATAGTATACCCGCCTGTCAAGTGCTTGCCACCTGGATCGCGGGAGAGCGGGGTTCGATTCCCCGCCAGAGAGACTTTTTTTTCACCGATGTGTACATGCCTGGACATTTATACTGCCCGGATAGATGGAAGCAACTAGTGACTCGCGAGTATCAGAGGTTTTGCACTCCACAGGTCTCTCCAAGTTGTGCATAACAAGCGACGCAAATCCATCCTCAAGTCTTACCACTCCTTCTCACCGCACCATCCTCCACTGCACCATCCTCCAACGCATTCCGTATCCCAGTCGTCCACACTCCCAGCTCCTTCTCCAATGCTACGATATTCTCCCTCACCTCCCTCCCCACCTCACCGCCCTCGTTCTCCCGACCAAACCCGATCAGTAATTCTTCCCTCGCCTTCAACAAGGTTTCATACGCGATTTTGAGCCTCGTCGGACCGCTGGGTGGAAAGGACGCCGTTTGACGCGACGATGAAGATGGCGATGGCGACGGCTCGTCGACAGCGAGCAGTTTGCCCAGCTCGGCGAGGGCAACGCCGCGCACGGGATGTCCTGGATCGAGGATGGCAGATAACCCCGCGACGTGCTTGGCGGCAGCACGGATACTCTCGTCCAGAAGGTTCTGTGAGATCTGGTATGAGAACGAAGTGAGTAATAACGATTGATGGAGCTTTAAGAGCGCGAGGAGGGGATGGGACGAGGGCGGTAAGCCGGCTGAGACTAATATTGGTATTATATTCGTGGTTAAATGCTTTGCATTGTCAGCATCTACGAGGTGATGAACTCATGAGGGAGATGAATGATTGAATTGTTCAGATGAAAGATCATACCACTCGATTGGAGACGCGTTGCTTTATCAAGTGCTTCTTGTCCAACGCGAGCTGCATCGATAACAGCATCAGGGTCGCTGATTGCAGCCTTACATGCCGAACACCGAGAGACTTGGTTTTCTGTCGTTCTGGGTCAGTGGATGTGCTCGAGTCATCAACGATATCTACGTACCCTCGGTTGGAAGAGGGCAGATACCGCCGCATGACTTGGGACAAAGAACGGCTTCCCGTGGGTCGACCACAGTGGCGGATTGCTTGCAGAGTGGGCACTGACAAGTGAAATTGTACGTTTCAGCAAGTACCTGTCGTCTCTGCGCCTTCGGGAGAGTCGTGTCGATGTAAGTTATCAATACCTAGGACAAGGGAAATAATTAACACTTGTTGAAAGTCTCGGTGCAGTGTACATACCTCTTCCCCAGCCGCGATATCGCGCAGAGCAATGACATCCATGACCGGTTCTTTCATGCTTGTTTTACCACCGCGAGGGAATACAACGATTGCGTTTGGAAGGCACGAATGGTTCGCGAGTGCCGCAAGTGGTGACACGATGGCACCGATGGGTGTAAGTGAGGGCGAGGTCAGGGCAATTGTGTTCGTAATGAACTAGGGCAGACCGAATGAGGAAGCAAGGAATGGCAGATTTGCTTAACCCTCACCCTTGAAATCATATTGACCAGGTCGCCCGTGGACAGGATGCCATATTCTTCGAGGTCAGACGGTGTCGTCAGACCAAGGTATCTGACAACCGAGTGCGCCAAGTGGGTGTGAGTCTCGACAGAGGCGGAGTGCTGCAGGGACACTTTGTCTGGGATATGATCTCTGTCAGCGACGGGACAAAAATGATGATAGCACGGGACACCAACGATATTGCATTTTCTGTATTTCGTTTGACTGGAGATGCACATGAGCGATGAGATGTAGAACATGGATACGAGGCGACTAACCCATCCGCTGTTCAGACCCTTTGATTTCATTTGCCATAAGATGCGACCCAAACACCGCACTGCGTCATTAGGAACACCCAGCGCAGCAGACGGGGCTGCCTCGGCCCATCTTTTGAGCGCTTTACACTCGTGTTTGTGCAAGCTCCAATCTGCCTTTTGACAGCCCTGTTCAGGGTGAATAAACTGCACTTGCGTGAGCGCTGGAGAACTTACGCTGTTACAATACCTGAGTGTTCCACAACCGGAACATCGCATGAAAGGAGATGTCGAAGTGGCCTTTGTGCAGGAAGAACAGCGCGAATCGAGGTGCTGATTCGAAAGGACGCCCACATGAGCTTCTATAGACAAGATGACGGACCCTGATGCGGAAAACGATAGCGTCAACGAATTCACCGGGAATCCAAATATCACCACACCATATTTGACATGCTGCCGCGTCCACAGACCTCTCCCGGAATAATCCGTTTTCCTGATTTCGAGCAGAGAAGGGAGCTGTGGATAGAGGCCATCGGTGTCCATCACTACATCATTTCGAACAGCAGAAGTTGACGCTTGAGGTGAAGACTGTGTGGGCACCGACGCGACAGGACCACTCAACGCAGATACATACGATTTGGAGCTCTTGGATTGCCTCTTGGACTTGAAGTCGGCGAACGACATGCCGGTAAAGTTGGGTGCGCGCTGTTTGCCTCTGTTTTACCACTACTACGACCAACTGCCGCCGACTAAGGCAGGCCGTCGATACTCATAGCGGACTGGTCACCAGTCTACCCAGGGGGATAGATCGTTTTCTCGGAGTGAGTGTCTGAGTTTGATCAGGGTTCTTAAGCGTCCGAGATAAAAGTGTAATTAATGCCTTCTCTTCTCGTGTCGACAGCTGACAAAAAGACTACTCTCTTGGCGGGCACGTTTGAGGGAACGCATGGTTTACTATTAAAAAGTCTATTGTGTTTGATTGGGAAGGTCAGCCCACCAACGCTGTCAGGTGAGTGATCCTTGGTAAAATAGCACCATCGATGCGTTCCGTCCACCCCACAAAGGTTGAACATTGACCCCGACGGTCATCAGGTGACAAACATGCTGCGAATCGGTAGCTTCTCGAACTCCGGTGACCACGTTCTGCGGAGCGTCTTTGATAACAAATATATCTAGAAATGACCTCGGCAAGGTTGCCAGCCAGATATCGGCCCCACCCTTCCTGCACCCCCTCTCGCAAAACGTTACTTGGCCCATGGCTGCCTTAAACGTAGGTCTCGGTGCAAATGAAAAGACGCCAGCGGGGAATGGAAGATCGGATGTTGGACTTTGCGATGAAGATATTGAACGGCATGCTTTGTCTTTACGGGGTAGGACATTGACGGCCTCGTTGGCAATTGTCGCAGGGACTGGGTTTACGCTCTTCGGGTATGCTTCTAATCGGATATGTCCCATACCGTACGCTTGAGCTCATTGGATGGTTCACATGTAGATATGACCAAGGCGTCATGTCGGCATTATTGACGGCCGGCCAGGTTTGCCACTGGGTTTCTTTTCGCTTCGTCCCATGCTGACGTCTGAGTTAGTTTGAAAAAGTCTTTCCCCAGGTGGTCGTGGATGCGAGCCATCCCAATCATGCGACGTTGCAAAGTTTCGTAGTCGCCGTTTATGTGTGTGGATATTCGACTCTTAGGCGCCCTGATGATGTTCACTCCCTGCTTCACTCCAAGGAAATCGGGTGTTTGATCGGAGCCCTGTCCAACCTATGGCTTGGTGATTGGCTCGGCCGTCGGAAGACGATTGTCGTTGGAGGGTCCATTATGATCGTCGGCGCCATTCTACAAACGGCGTCGTATAGCTATGCTCAGCTTGTCGTCGCACGTATCATCACCGGTCTCGGGAACGGACTCAACGTAGGTTGAACACCATTCGGACCATTGCGTATGCGTGCTGATAGCATATAGACATCGACCGTGCCCACTTATCATGCAGAATGTTCACCTGCTGCCAAGAGAGGTAGCTTAATCATGATCGAAGGGAGTCTCATCACGTTTGGTGTCATGATATCGTGCGTAGCGTTCCCTTGAGTGCTCTCTGCATGACCTCTGATGTCATTGAGCACAGATATGTGAGCAATGGTCGTTGTTGACCCTTTGTGCGAAGAACTAAACGGTCCGTGTTGTGCAGTGGGTTGACTTCGCCCTGTACGTCCCACCTCTCGAAAGAAGTGCCGTGATTCACGGTTATAGGTTTTGGGCATCTGGATCCTCTGCCCAGTGGCGGGTCCCACTCGCACTGCAAATCATCCTCGCCCTGGTCATGATCTTTGGTATCGGTTTCGTATGTGTTCTGACTCTGTCGATATCCAGAGGTAACCTGTTATTAGCTCCCAGAATCGCCGAGATGGTAGGTGTTCTGAGATTGTTATACTGAATGCTTAACTGGTGCAACAAGGCTCATGAAACATGGACGCAATGCCGAAGCCGCAGCAGTGATTTCAGCATTAGATGATAAGCCGTTCAGTGACCCCGAGGTGCAGAGGACGTATCATGCCATCCGCGAAGCTGTAGAAATCGAAGAAGGAAATCATGGCCTTTATGGTAACAAAGAAGCCAGGGGCTCGCACTCGCAGCTAAGAGAGCTCTTCACTGGTGGCCGTACGCAAAATTTTAGACGAACTTCTCTTGGTGTCATCATTCAGTGTTTCCAACAAATCACAGGAATCAACTTGATCACCTAGTGGGTTCAGAATGCCTTTATTCCTCGTTCTTGTCTCATCAAATTCTTGACAGCTACGCCGTCAGTCTGTTATTTGGTTGGTGTCAATTCATGCATTGACCACTAAAGTTGTTCTTCAGACAATTCTGTTCCAACGACTCGGTCTTTCCGATGTGACGTCCCGTGTCATCGCGGCTGCCAACGGGACAGAATACTTCCTCGCTTCTCTTATTGCCATCTTCCTGATCGATCGTGTCGGTCGACGAAAGCTCATGCTCTTCGGCGCGGTGGGACAGTGTTTGACCATGGTGCTGCTTGCAGTACTGGGGAGCGTCAAAGGTAGTGGGGCACAAGTCGTGAGCTCAGTGTTGCTGTTCGTCTTCAATTCCTTCTTTGCTGTCGGTTGGCTGGGTATGACGTGGTTATATGTGCGTCGACCTATTGCCACTCCTGCGTATGGACTTGACAGTGTTGGATGATTAATGCTCACAGCCTGCTGAAATCGTGGGACTGAGAATCCGTGCGCCTGCAAACGCACTGAGCACAGGTGCGTCGGGTAGTTTGCAGGACGGTCGCACTGTACTGATGAATTCGAATAGCGTCC